GCATCAAAGAACAAAAAATCATATCATTGTAAATGAGGGTGAATTCAGAGTGGAGACCCAAAGACAATCTGTAGGCAACTGGACACCCCCTACTGAAGGGTCACGGGGAGGAGATGAGCCAGTCAGGGTGCAGGGTAGCAACAATGAAACATACAACTTTCCTCTAACTTCTTAAATGCTTACTCCTCCCACTGTCAGGATCCCAATTCTATCTTAAAAATCTGGCTAGACCAGAGGATGCACACTGGTACAGATAGGAACTGGAAACACAGGGAATCCAGGACATATGACCCCTTGAGGACCAGTGGTGAGAGAGTGGCGATACCTGGAGGGAACCAATTACAAATATCTACATATAACCTCCTCCCTGGGGGATGGACAACAGAACAGTGGGTGAAGGGAGATGTTAGACAGTGTAAGATATGAAATAATAATAATTTATAAATTATCAAGGGATCATGAGGGGGGCAGCAGAGAGGGAGGGGGGAAATGAGGAGCTGATATTAAGGGCTCAAGTAGAATGCAAATGTTTGAGAATGATGATGACAACAAATGTACAAATGTGCTTGACACATGGATGGATGTATGGATTGTGATAAGAATTGTACGAGTCCCCAATAAAATTATTTAAAAAAACAATTTCTGCCTTGAAGTGGAAATTTTAACAAGTCACATCACTGTCAGACAACCCCCTCCTCTGTATTACCTAACTGGCCTTTGAGGTCATTGGGCTTTGCCACCCTGCTTTGTAGGTCTAAAATATTGTGGGTGACAAGGGCTGGCTGGACTGGAAGTCAAGAGACAAGGATCTCAGGCCTGCATTTAGAAAAATCTCTATGCCTCAGAATGGAGCATAGAGGGAAGGGGGAAGGAATGAAGCCAATGATTATAAGGAAGAAGCTACAGTAAGTCTCCAAACAGAAAGTGATGCTAGATTAAATGAGGTCTCTGACACTGACCTTCCCTTGAACCTTGCCTCCTGACACTCAGTCTGGCCAAACCCATCACCATGGAGCCCTGGACAAAGTAGAATCTTGTATTGAAATCTCAATCTGCCAGTTAGAGATCATTTTAGTATCATAGTTCTCAAACTCCAATGTCTATCAGAATCAACTGAAGATTCCTGAAAACCAAGACTGCTGGGCTGTGCTCAGAGTTTGTGATTGAGTAGGTATGAGATAGAGACAATAATTACATTTCTAAGAAGTTCCAGGTAATTCTGGGTCTGCTGGTCTGGCCAGCACACATTGAGAACCACTGGATTGCAGCCATTGCAGAAAGCATCACTTTCTGTTTGGAGACTTGGCTGTACACTAGAACCCCTGGAAGAGTTAAAAAAGTGCTTGGAGATGGGTATCTGAATTTTTTTTTTTTAACTCTTCCAGGGGTTCTAGTGTACAGCCAAGTCTCTTACAAGGTAGGACTCAGGAGATGGTAGTTTAAAGAATTCCCAGTAGATCGCAGCACTGAGCTAAGTTTGTGAACTACTATAGAAACTCATGGATGACATTACCCAGTGCTACCAGTTCCAATTTATGGCTTTCCAACTGTAAAACACTATGATCAGATTTAAATGTTCTTAATCTGATTGAAGGACCCACTGTTACTGCGGATTAGGCATTGGGCTGCTAACTGCAAGTTCAACAGTACAGACCCACCACTGCTCATGGGAGAGAAAAGAGACAGTCTGCTCCCTAAAGATTGACAGCCTAAAGATTGACAGCCTCGAGCTGTCACCATCACTAGGAGCTGGACGCGACTCCATGAACGTGCACTTGATGGTTGGTGGGTTCCAAAAATAGAGTTGGGAAATGTTTGAAGATAGTCCCCTGCAAAATAGATAGATGAGGAAACCGAGGCCCTGTCCCTTACCCTAGAACCTTTCCACTCCTCAGTTTCTAGACTGAAATCTTGAGTTTAGTGAGGCAATCAATGTCATTTCCAGAGTCCTTCTAAATAGCCCTAGTGATGAAGTGGCTAAAGTACACAATCTTTAGACACCTTTAAGGCCTATAACTGAACCCAAAGGTCAACTTTCAACCAAGTAATAGGCCAATAGAGTACACAATACCAGAGAAGAAGGTACAATGAGTACATTGTGTTGTTTGAATTGATATTTTCTAACTGATATCTACATTGTCATATCAATTGCAATTGTTGCACAGGACAGAAACAAAATACATGATTAAAGGGTTTATTAAGGAAGTTACAAGCTATAATGCAGTGAGAAATGTTTAGGGTTGAGTTGTTTACCAGGACAAGTTACAGGTTTTTTCAGATCTGCTAGTAAGTGCTCAGAGGGCATTTGCTCAAAGCCTCAACTCAAAGGCATTCAGCTCAAAGGCATTCAGCTGGGTCAGCAAACCCAGCTCCCTGAGTTAAGTGCCCAGAAGCACGCCACGCCAGTAATCCTTAGTTTAAAGGCACTCAGCTCCACTTCTGTGGGTCAATAAGCCCAACTTCCCATCTTAAGTGTCCAGAGGTACCCCACTCTGAAAGCCAGTCTCCCCACAAACGCAATCAGCTTTACTTGCTCTGGGGGTTGGGAAGTCCATCACTCGGTTCTATTCTTTGGCTTCTGGTTCTGCCGCTCGCTGCTCCTCTGATGCTGTAGCTGTCTTCTGGATCCAGGAGAGTCACTGCATAGGGAGCACAGGCCCAGAGGTTGTGCTCCACTCCTGGCTTGTAATGAGACCCCTCCTCCTGCTGCTCAGAGGGCTCATTTTATACACAGCAGCAGGGCATGCCAGGGAATCCTATTTCCAGTTACTCACAGGTGAACCCATCAGTATCTTCCACACCTTCTTAGCAGACCCATGCAGGGAAAGGTCATTTGGTGAGAATTGGAGACTGCCTAGAGAAGCCACATTATAAAATTCACTGCCCCTGCACATTCAACTATACAAGACCAAGGGGCAGCATTTACCCACAAGCAAGGCATAGAAGGCAGGAATGAGCAGGAAAGCCAGATACATGGAAGCATGAGCCCAGGAGGGAAGTGGGAAGAGCACAATTACACTGAGGAAACTGCAACGAATGTCATAAAGCAAGTTGTGTATAAATTGTTGAATGAAAAATAAATTTGCTATGTACTTTTTCAGCCACACTACAGTAAAAAGTGAAAAACAAAAGAAAAGAAAAGGGAATGTATAATTTGGCAATTAGGGTGATAGTTGAACCACAGGATGAACATAATTAATGTCATAGAACTTCACACATGGAGACTGTTGAAATGTTGACTGTTTTGTTTCATATCTATGTACCGCAATAAAAATGTAGTTTAAAAAATAAAAATTAACCTATGACCGTATGGCCACCTATAAAGATACAAAATGTGAATAGAAAGTAATTTAAAAATAAAAAGAAATATATGAGCTCTAGCTGTGGATCAAAATGATGCTGTTACTCTACATTTCTTTGTGGATCAGGAACGTGGACTTCTCGTACAATACATGCAGTGGATCCTGAGTTCTGGAAGCTGAGTGTGCAAGGAAAGAAATGATGCAGTCACAAGAAAGACAACCACAGTAGTGAAGGAACACAGACCCCTGTCCCACAAGTAAGAAAATAGGGAAAGTAGGTTTTCCTTCTAATATCTGAAGGGTTACCAAGTAGATGATAAATTAGACAATGAGTTCCTGTCGGTCCAGTAGACAGATGGTATCTGAAGACAGATTTTGTTTGTAAGTATTTGTAAATCTCAGAACTGTCCTGAGACTGCATGGACCCTTATGGGGTGATGGTGAGTGCTCCATCACTGGAAGTATCTGAATGTATTGTGGGGCATCAGTCAGCAGTGACACTGCAAAACAGATGGAAGCACAGAGGAGAAGAAGGTGCGGCGTCTGAAGTACCTTTCACTATGAGGCAAGCAAGATTCAGTCAATGAAATCACGGGGGTAGGTAGGGCTTCTTAAAAAATAATCATGCCATATCACATCCTGATATTTATTGTGACATCTCATATCACCACGCCCACCCTAATCCTAAGAAAAGTCACGTGCTAGAGTGTGAACATGCCATCTTCGTCCTCCCTTCCAAGTTGTATGTCGCTGAGGACATTTTTACTTTCTCCAGTGTTGGCCAGTCTGTAAAGAGAAAGAGAAGACTGATCGCCAAGAAAACTCCCAGACTAAGAGGAATAAACATAAAAACTGCTGAATTAAAAAAAAGTGACTAGTGCTAAAAGGTGTAAAAAAGGGTTGCCGTATCTATCACAGGTCCTTAATTTCATAGATAGGAAAACTGGGGTCATGGGAGATAAAGGTTAATCTATTATAATTCAAATATCTGAAGTAGGAGAATAGAAGGTAATTGTGTAACTGTGTTGTTTACCAAAGGTGTTTTCAAGCATGGCCTTGGGAAGTCACCTCACTGCACCTCGGTTTCCCTACGTGTTAACCTTTCCTTGTTAATAAAAACAGTGGTATCGTTGCAATTATCAAGGGAAGGGAGAATGTTCATCCACGGGTTGTACAAAGATATTTCTTTTTCAAAATGCCTATAGAACAAGGCGGATGTCCCAATGCCCTTCCAGAGACTCCTCACTATTGTCAAACACAAGCATAAAACTCGACTTCGATGGACAAACGGGGCAGAGGAGCCCAAGCAAGGGATGACTGTCTGCAGGTCGTTCCTTTCTCCATGCTGCCCGCGGCTTCCCCCGGGAACTCCCAGTTCCTCATGTCATTTTAAAGGTGACCCAATTTTAAACCCAAGAGACTCTAACAGACAACTTGCACCACGTCACAGACAGCTGTTGCACCTTCTCCTTTTTGTAGGCCACACTTTTATTAATGCAGCAAGACTTAATATTTGCATTCTGGACAGACGTGGCACACGAACAGAGAGGTTAGTAGAAGATACATCTCCACACCTTTATCACCTCTCATGCCACATAGCTCCAACCTTGTGTTTAATCAAAACACAAGCATAAGTCATTAAATCACTGAGTGGTATCTAATCATTTGTAACCGCCTGTATAGTCATTACAATGATCATTCATGCAAGATAAATTACCTTGTGTGTTTCTGCAAACAGGTGGTTCTCATGACTTTCCCTGAAAAGACAAGTGGCGTACAGGGTTAGAACACGTGAATACTGGGGGAAGCGGGAAGCTGCCTTGCAAAAACAACTGCTGGCCCAGAGGTGAGAAGTTACAGACTGGCTTTGGCAATAAAAAACGCCATTTCTTCTCTCAGCTCATAGGATGCTTCTGGCAAATGATTTCTTCTTGGGCTCCCTGAGAAATCCTTAGGTGGTTTAAAAGGTTAAGCATTCAGCTGCGAGCAGAAAAGTTGGTGATTTGAATTCACTGAGAGGTTCCTTGGAAGGCAGGCCTGGCATCTCCTTCTGAGAGGCCATCATCTTAAAAGTCTTACGGAGGAGTTGCTATGAGTAGAAATCAAACCAACTAACAGGGCGTTAGGGAGGGCCCAACTATTGCTAAGTTGTTCAGAATTTGCAGGCAGTGGTGCTAAGCTGTTCGACTTGTTAGTTATTTATTCACTCAGAACTTAAGTATTCCGTTGGGTTTTAAAACACATTTTTTTGGTATGTGAGTCCCATCTGGGATTTTCCCAACTATAACCTGTGTCTTTGTATAAAGTTTTATAGTAGATTTACAGAACGTTGTAAATTTCTCTTTCAATATTTACCTGGGATAGATAAATGTTACAATTTACTCGGTAAGTAAAATAGAATTGTTATAAAAGCATAGAAACCTTTATTAAACAAAAATACCAAAGTGTGAAGCTACCGTTTCTTAACCTGTCTCCCCTCTCGGTCTGAAGGCAGGGTTTCCTTGTCTTTAACACGTGCCGGCAGGACTCTGTGCTGTTCTCTTTAGACCACATCATAATGGCAGTCTTGGCACCCTCGAGGGTCTGAAGCCATGTTTCTGTTCAAACGTCTTTGAGTTTGGGCCACAAACAGATGGCTGAAGATCAGGGTTGTAAGGTGGATAGGGGAAGGTCTCCCAGAGAAATCGTCATACAGCAGTCCTCGCTAATCTCCCCCAATGAGCAAGTACATTGTCAGAATGGGGGGGAATTCCTTGGCACAACTTTTCCGGCCTTTTTCTAATCAATACAGGTTCATTTTTCTTAAAATTTGGTCATAATAAGTCCTATGTTCATTTTGAAGTCTTTTAAGAAAATATGTCAAGACCGTCCACTATAGAGTCCCCACCCCACAAAACAAAACAAAAAACCCATAATCATACATTTGAGCTGGCATCTCTACCTTGAATTTAATTGGTCCAGCAGATTCCCCTAGAAGTCCCTGTTTTTATTGGATCTACTTTCTGAAGGCACTCTAAGGAGTCTAAGACAAGTGTATTACTGAGGGGCCTTGTATCCAGCCATCCCCTGATTGCAGAAATATGTGTAAACACAGTTTTTTGGAATGCCCATGCATGTGTGACTTGAACCCTAGGAGCAAAACCTTTTGACCAACTCTGGACCAACTACTGTTGCTCAAACCAGCTCTTATGGTCACTAAGTTTATTCCTCACTTAGTACCTTGAGGAGTCCCTGGATGGTGCTTATGGGTGCTTAACGTGCTCAGTTGATAAGCAAAGATTGGAGGTCCAAGTAAACCCAGAGACATCTCCAAAGATATGTCTGATGATCTACTTCCTAAAACTCAGTCACTGACCATCCTTGGGAGCACAGTTCTACTCTGACACATGTGGGGCCACATGGTCCAATGTAGTGCCTTAAAACAGCTGGTCATGACCACAAAACAATGTTTCTTCATTTTAAAGAAAATTTGATGTCATGTGCCTATAAACTGTAAACCCTAGTCCCTGGCTCATTTTTGCCGGATTTTCTAAATTTGGGGGGGGGTAAGGGGGTGGGTACTAAGCCAAGAACCAGTTTGAGCATCTAAGAAAATTATGAACCCTGACCCTTGATAAATTCAGATATAAACCTGCCAGCGCTTTTGCGCATGATTATAAAGGATTCACTTGTCCCTGAAGTCCCCTTGTAGACTCACCTTGAGACACCTGTTTTATGGAAACAAAGAAAACCAAGGTCTTTCAAGGTTGTCTTCCCTCATCCAGAGTTGCCTCAGCATTAGGAGAGTGATGTTAATAGTGCTTTCCATGTAACGAGCATGAAAAGAAGACACAGCACACCGCAAGTGTGGAGCAGCAAGATGCCACAGAGTTGTTGCCAACTGCCACTGAGTCAGCCCCCGATTCATGGGAATCTTATGTACAGGGAAACGACGCGCTGTCCTGCAGCAACCCCATGATTGGTTGGTTGCAGATCTGACCCTTGTGACCCAAAGGGTTTTTAATAGCTGATTTGGGAGAGTAGATGACTAGGTCTTCCTTCCTGACCCATCGTAATCTGGAAGCTGTTTTGAAAGGTATTCCGTGTCATAGTAATCTGCAAACTCCAATGCCTGACAAGGAGTGACTGCACAAATACATTGGCCAAGAATTGAACCAAGCCCCCCCCACACACACACACATAAGCAACATGATGATTCTACCACTCTCCTCTTTGGGCAAAGAGTAAATGCCCCATGGTCAAAATTGTTCTTCCATAAAGCATTTGTACCTTATGGGAAATGAGTTATGTTGTAGATCAGGATGGCGAGTTTTAAAAAGGTCAGGAAGCAGAAACTAACCATGGCTAAGTCTTCCTGCAAGTCACCATGGCTCCATCCTACCTGGTCTTGGCTTCCTTACCTCGCAGGAGAAACCCTAGAAGCAACACCAATGCCACGAATCCAATGCAGGGAATGATGATTATCAGCAGGTCAGACATTGTCATCTGTTGAAACACAGCGAAGGTGACTATCACTCATTTCTGAACATCAGCATTGTAAGAATCGCGCATCCCAGTAAAACTTTTGAATCACTAGTATCAGCAAACATTTTAGCACCATTCACACAATATACCACAATATCAACACAAAGCCAATCTTAAAAATTCCAGAAGATCTCTGAAAATCTTAGCAATTTTATCCATACCCCCAAATTCATTACATCCTAAGTATGAAGTACAATATATGTTGCTGTGAGGCTTAGGACTCTGAAGGCAAAAAATAATTGTGTGGCAAATGTTAATCAGCAAATGAATGGATAAACTGTGTATCATATGTATACGTTGTGTAGCATATATATACATATATATGGTAATACATATCTATATCATGGAAATGAAGTTCTGATAGATGTTACAACATGGATAAACCTTGAGAATATTATGCTGGGAAAAATAAATCAGATACACAAAAAATAAATATTGTGCTATCTCACTTATATGAAATAGAATAGGTAAATGCATAGAGATAGAAGTACGAGGGGGCAGGCAAAAAAAACCCAGAATTCTTTTTTCAGTGATATATATTTAAACTGTTTTTACAAAACAACCTTATCACCTTCAAAGTACACTCCATTATACTTAATACATTTGTCAACTCTGCAATTCCATTCTTGGAAACAATTTTCAAATGCATCCTGTTTGGATGGCTGACAGCACCTCCCTCATTTTTTTTTCTTCACTACTTCTACATCATCAAATTGCTGTCCTTTCCATCTACATATGTAAATATATTTAGATATAACAATAGGGAAATAGATCTATGTACATATATTTATGTGTTAAGCATTAAGGTAGCAGATGGACATTGGGTCTCCACTCAAGTACTCCCTCAATGCCAAAACACTTTGCTCTAACAACCTGGCATTCCATGATGCTCAGCTTACTGACACAAT